GGGGGGGGGGGGGGGGGAGTTAGAATCTGAGTAGACTGTCGAATTGGCCTTTCTAAGGTAGAACAGTCGAGTACATAGAGTAGAGAAAAAGAGAGAGACCATGTATCTTGGTCATAATTTGTAAAAAGAGGTTAAAGAGAGGGATATGGCGTCTCGGTTTCAAAGCATCGTTTACGTGATATACATATATATATACATATATATATATATATATTTATCTATATCCGGTTTATTTGTACGCGATCGTAAGAGGAAGAGTCAAAGTCGATATTCTTATCCAAGAGCTTAGTCTTTCTTTATTAGTTGCGTGATGAGGAAGCAAGAAAGAAAGAAAGCAAGAGAGAGAGAGAGAAGGGGAGAAAGAGAAAAAGAGAGAAAGGATGAATGAATGAGTGAGAACGAGGGAGGAGAGAAAGGATGAGAAAGAAAGAGAGACAGAGAGAGAGAGCTTAACGATTGAAAGTAAAAGACGTGACTTTTGCGATTGTAACGTGTATGTATATGTATATATATATATATATATATATATATATATATATATATATATATATATATATACACACACATATTTGGACGCGCATATAAATACACACGACGTGATTCAACCGAAGTATATAAAAATATTCGCGCACGAGCGCGTTAAAGGTTTAAGTATAAAAACGATAAAAACTCAATCTAATTGCCTTGTTTTTTATGCAGAACTTATGAAAGTATCGAAAGTAACGATTTAAAAAATAATAAAAATGCTATTTAAAGAATCTAAAATATACATATATAAATATATTATAAATATAATACACACACATACGCACGCACGCACACATATATACACGCAACAGACAGACAAAACACAACACGTACACACAAGCCCACTGACATACTTACACAGACACGTGTAATAAATTCGCGACGTCGGGGCCGAGGGTAGAATTTTGGGAACGGGACACAGGAGGGGTTGAAAGTACCCAAAAGTTCAAAAAAGGCTAAAAGAAAAATTATTATTATTACTATTATTATTATTATTAATCGAACTTAAACGTAAGGTTGGCCAAAACTACAATTGGGGTGTTGCGAGCGTGCGTATATTTCGAGGATTTTTACAAATGAACACCGATATGTAATTCGATAATCCGCAAAACGCAAGAATATAAATACGAAAAAAAAAATATATATATATACATTACGGTACACACGATTAAAAAGTAAAGAGGCAAAGCCACACACTCTCATTGCATTGGATCTTTATCGTAACGTTAAGGGCATTCCGCGGTTTCCTTAATTCAGATAGAAAAGAGATAAAAAAGAAAAGAGAGAGAAAGAGAGAGATTGCACGTTAGCGCTGATGCAACTCGCCAATGGAAACATGCGAATCGAAAGACGTTTCTAACGGCGAAATTATTGAAAGTAACAGATGCTGGAAGAGAAGACGCGAGAGTGTGCAAAGCATCACGATCAGCGAAATAACGAACAATAATGCGACAATAAACGAGAGATGAAGGACCTGAGGAAAAATTTCAAGAGAAAGTAAAAAGGAGAAACGCCCCTTGATCGCGGGGGCGATGATTTTCGGATAGTGGCGCACATTCTTCCCCAAGGAAGTTCGTTAATTGCTAATCTCGACGAGATACGTCTGGGTCGCAGTTTATTGTTCCGAAGCGACACGCGCATGATTTTAAGCAAAAAAGAAAAAAAAGAAAAAAAGAAAGGAAGAAGAGAAACTCGAGAAAGATATAAAAAATGAAATTTTTGTGGGACAGTCACGTTCGACAGTTCGACCCACGCAGCCTTACTGGGCCTTATTAAGGTATTGTCGTACTATTACTAAATTACTATCAAAGTAACGATAAAGCTTAAGTAACGGTAATCAAATAGCGGAGAGAGGATAACGGCGAGAATAGGCAGAGGACGAACGACGCGATCGTTTTTATTCGATCCACAGTGAAGGGTGAAATATGGTGGACGAGTAATAGTGTAATTAACGGGAGAATTAACGGGTCGTGGGAGAAATCGATGAAGCACGAAATGAGAAAGGATAACGGTGGTGCGATTCGCCCGTAAAGGAAGCTAGAAAACTAGAATCAAGTTGCCGAATTGTCCGTTTCCTCGATGCGATTTTGACTGATCTTTTCTGTTTTCTTCAAAGTGCTAGAATGCGTGTACATGCTGTAACGTAAACATGCGAGAGAAAATACTGGAGAAAGTGAAAGAGAGAGAGAGAGAGAGAGAGAGAGAGAGAGAGAGAGAGAGAGAGGGTGTGTGTGTGTGTGTGTGAAAGAGAAAAAAAATTGAATGTGAAATTGTGTGTGAGAGTGTGTATGAGAGATTGAAAAAAAAATTATAAATATAATTAGAGACATTCCGCCGTTCAGCTAGAGAAAAAAAGAAAGAACTAATTGCGTCCACAATACAGTTTACGAACGACTTTAAGCAAGCATATTTCTAGCACAGTTAAGGAACATTTCTTCGAATTCCTCTACTCTTCTTCATCTTCTAATATATTACTACTACTTCTTTTTTCTACATAATTCCTTTGAAGGAGAAGCCACAAGTGCGTACAAGTCTCGATAAAAAAAGAACGCCTTTAACAAGCTCAAGGAGTGTGTTTACGACTACTACCAACTTTAATGTATAAAAAGGAAAAAAAAGATAATAACGACGGTGATGATGGTGATGATAATAAAAATAATAATGGTAAACACAACAATAATATTAATAATAACGATAATAATAATGATAACAGTAATAATAATAATATTAATGATAATAATGATAATAAAAGCGATGATAATATTAATAATAATAACGGCAACAACAATGATAATAATAATAACAATAATATTAATATTATTATAATGATTATAACAATAATATAATGTTACTACAACTATTACCGCGATAACAATAACAAAAACAAAAAACAGCAAGAACAACCCCCCTCCCTATATATATATATATATATATATATATACATATATATGTATATATATACACATATATATACATATGCATATATATATGTATATATATATATATATATATATATATATATGTATATATATATATATATATATATATATA